CACCCAACCACCGAGGCAGAAAGGGGGAAAATAGAGGCGCGGATTCGTCCAGCAAAGCACCGGCAGCAGACGACAACGAAAATGGGGTAGACACACAAAAACAAAAATCATACACAAGGGGAAAAAATGGACTCCTCGACGAAACGCAATGAGTGGCGCTGGGCAACTGCGGTTTTTTTTTTTGCTTCCTCACGAGACGTCGCAATTCCGCACTCTTGCTTTCACTCAGCAGGAGGCGCTGTCCCCCCCACAGCCCCAGCAGGACGAGCAGCAATGGCCGAGGCACACGCCCATCACACCCAGCGCTGTCGCCACATGTGTCCATCAACACCAAACACTGCGACGTCCTTGCAATGAGGGGAGGCGTTGATGAAGTGCGGTGCCGCGGGTTTGGGCGGCGGCGAAGGAGAAGGGGCCCGCACCCCACACGCGAGCGCGCCATCACCCAAAAGGGCGAAGCAAAACCTGGCGTCTTGGCTCCGCCCGCGCCCGGCAAAAGCAAAAAAGACGGCAAAATAAATACGGCGGCAGAGGTGGAGATTAAACGCCCGTGCGCAGCCAGCCTGGGGCCGCAGGGGGAGTGCGCCGAACCCCCGGGAGAACAGCCGCCCTCCACGAAACGGAGGGAGCGCAGGCGGGGAAGATGGGTACAGTTTGTTTTCGCCTGTGTGTGTGTGTGTGTAGTAAAGTGGTGAGCCCACAGCGACCCGTCGGGGCCCCACTGCCGCTGCCGTCGCCCTACAGGCAAAGCGGTGCGAGTCGCCCCACGAAGACGTCCCGGCGGGATCTCAAACCGTTAACCGTCGTCGTCCAGCGTGCGGCCTTCAGCGTCGCGGCAAACGCGGCCCCCAGCAGCCACCATTTGGCTCGCTGCGGGCGCCGGCCGGACACAGCGAAGACCAGACAGCCGGGGCGCAAAGTGTGTGAGGATGCACCCCTGCACAGGCAATGATGCCGAGCCCAAGGAGCGCTTCGAAGGACGAGCGCGGCGCTCCACGTTGTTTGCCTTGCGCGATGTGGGGTCTAGCTGTGTGAATCTTCGTGGTTCTTGTGGAACGTGGGGCATCGAGAGGAGAGAGGGAGTGTGACTGGAAACACCGAGCATAGGTGGGGGGACAAGAGCAACCCAAAAAACATAAAGTAAGGATGCCGCCGCAAAACCCAAAAAAAAAGGAAAAGGAAAAGCTACACACGGACGCGCACGCACAAACATACACACACAAAGAAGATTCATGCGTCTTTGGCAAGCAGTGGGCGAATTGCAATGGGTTTCCCCGAGGGAAGCGCCACCGCTTTTAGCCTCGCCAGCGCCTGCTCCAACCCATCAAAAGGGTCGCCGCTCACCGCAGATAGAATACTTTTTAGGTAGTTCAAATCCGTCGCCAACTGCTCCACGGCGGCGGTCTCCTTCTTCATCGCGCCTGGCGCATCGCTGGGAAAGTAAATTGTTATGCTGCCAACCTTATTTTCAATAAACTCTGCCACGGCTGCTCGCACAATGTCCTCCAGCCAGTCCCCCGCCACCTCCTCCAAAAGATCTTCGATCCCGTTGGGGCGACAGTCGCCATCACCGCTGCCGCGCAACGCCTCCAACGCCAGCGGTATTTCAACAATGGCTTCCCCAAGGGACCGCACCAGCTCGCTTGGCGCAATCTGCGCGGGTGTGTAGGAAACAGTCGGCATAGCACTCGAAAAGGGATCTCCACTGTTTTGTTTCGAGCTCCAGAAGAGCTGCAACTCGTAGCCGTCAGCCTTAGCAACAACAGGTTCTATGATTGTGCGCTTCACCGCCCTCTGGCACTCCGCGGCGCAGCTTTCCAGGGCCTCTGTCAGCGGTGCCCAAAGCTGGGTGTGAAGCTGTTCGTTGACGGCGTCCGCCAAGCTTGGGTACAGTTGCTGCATCTCAGATGACACAAGGTACTCCGAGGACATCCTTGACGCGCCTTGAAGCAGCTGCCCCACCACGGAGCGGGTGGTTGATAAATTCGCAAGCAGGCTTCCCTGCGGTGCCGCCGGCGTCGGCCGTAGGCCAGCAATCACTCTGAGGATGGCTTCGCGCCACTTCTCGACACACATCGGAAGCGTCTTCTCTGGGAAGAAGCGCACAATACTTTTAACACCATCCATCATGGCATCCATCACCAGCTGAAAACGTTCCCGCCGCAGCGCCTGTTTTGGGTCGTCCAGCAGCGCCTCCACGCGGCAAGCCTCACGCTGCGCGAACGCCTCCAGTATGTTGGGCTTGCCAAATATTCCTATCAGCTCTGTAAATGCATAGGTAGCAATCTGCCTTACAATTTCTTCTTGCAATGAGCCGCCACAACCGATAGCCGACTCAGCGCCAGTCGTATGGATGCCGACATCCTCTCGCAACCCAAGCTGCCGTACCGCGTCGCAGCAGGCCATCACTTCCTCATTCCGTTCCGCCCGCTCCAGAATAGGCTCCAACGCGCCACCGATGCTGCCAACCACCTCATCCACCATTAGTTGCATCACTTTTACGGCACGCACCTCTACTTCATGCAGCGCCTCAGCATGCTTTTCCGTCTGCAGGGGGTCCGCGGTCGCGCGGTCCTCGCTCTGAGCCATGCGCAGCACATAATCTAACTGGTCGGAGAGCGTATGCCCGATGGACGGCATCAACTGGCCCTTCAGCAACTCCGCGGCACGGGCAGGGGGCATTGCGGTTGCAGAGCCGCCTCCGAGTAACATTCGCTCCACCCGTTCCTTTTCACTAGCCATGCTCTCCACGGCGTACTGCTGCAGTACCGCATCCGCACGACTAATGGTGTCAAGAACCTTAAGCAGTTGGGCCGCGCGGTCGACTTCGCACCGTCGCAGCATGTCCATACACTCCGCTTCAACGGCGTGCTGGACAACCTGCTCATACCGTTCCACAGTCTCAAGCTGCTTTTCTCCAAAGGTTACGTCCAACTTCTGCAGCTCCGCAAGATTGCCCTGAACCTGACTGATGGACTCCGCCACCGCATCCATGTCGACCTCCGATGGGGATATACGCAGTTGCTGTATGACGTCATCAAGTTGTTTCATGTGACTGTCCACCTGAGTGGCTTTCCAAAGCGTGTCAGAGCATCGAGCAAGTTTCTCCTGCGTTTTCTTCAACGCATTCAGCCGCGCTACATAGGGCTTCGCAGCCGCCTCCACCGCCGACTGCGCCACCTCCTGCATGCTCTGTAATTGCGACTGCAGCTGTTGCGCCTCCGTGACCATTCGTCCAACTTCCAGCCCAGTTCGCGGTAGACGCACAAGTGCCTGGGCAATGGTGTCCTCCACCGACCCGGAGACCTCCTGCAAGTGGGTTTGCAATCGGTTAAAAAGCTTCATGACGCCAGCCTCTACCTCAGTGTCACCCTCTGCCGTCGTTGCCTCCACCGCTAGTAGTCCCTGGAGGGAGGTGTTTATCCAGCGTTTGATGTCCACATGCTCAGCGCTGAGTTGATCAAGCCGTAGCTCCACCGCCTCAGCCGCGTTGACCGCTTCCATGGGGGGTTGCATTTTGACTGTGCCGCTGCGGTGCGTGTCTGCTACTTTCTCGCTCTCTCTAATACTTCCTTTCCTTCCCTCCGGCTCTGTATATAAGGCACAAAATGAACAACCCCAGAAACAACGACAACACGGATGATAAATGGGAGAAAATGGGGGAAAAAATATCCAAGCAAGAGAGAAGAGTAACTTCCTGGGCAGCAATAACAAATCACCCGCCCTCTTTCTCTCTCTCTCTCTATCTCTCTCTCTCTCTCCTGTCTGCGTGTGATTGTGCACAATGTGGAGGATCACCTCACTATCGTTGGATGCACGTCCCCTCCCCTCTTCCCCCTCTCCCATTGCTTATGCGTGTTAGTACTTTGGGTATTATTCATTCACATTTTTCTCATGCTCAAGGAGAGAAATAAAAAGAAGACAGTACAGAGACGGAAGATCCCGCTTAATATACGAACGACTTCGGCCCCCACGCACGCAGTGCAGCCAAGACGCGGCCCTGGCGGAGGTTGAAGATAGGGTTTAGTGGAGGTAATCGTTCCGGGCTTCTGTAGCAGCCTCCAACACCACTGCCATTGCTGCAGGTCGCGAGGACGATATCGTAGTCATCACGATCTGCGGGAATGTAGCCACGATGGATCGCAGTAGTGTAAATAAGCTCGTCATTTGTGCAGTGGCGAGGCAGGTATTGCAGGTTCTGCGCCGTACTTATCCCAGAGAGGGAGTAACATGTATGGTAGGCGTCGTTCGGGCAGCCTGGCTTGTCCATGAGCCCACCCGCCTCCTCATCCTGGCAGCAGGCGAGCACGTAGAGCAGAAGACGTCGTTGGTTAAAGAGCAAATCCCCAACCTCCTCGTCAAAAAACGCCTGGGCCAGCGTCGCTGACGACGACGACGACGATGGGGCGTTAAGGTACGCCTCTACTTGTGCTGTGCGTTGTCGATAGCTCTCCTCGGCCCGTCGCCAGGCATCGTCATCCGCAGCCCGCGTACACGTCGCGTCGAGCAGCTGCGCATGGTCGAGCAGGAGAACCTCCCGCGCCGTCAGACACCGCGCCGTCTCGGCCTGCCTCAGCAGACGGGCATACGCCTCACCCACCCGCATCAACATGTGGGACGCACCCACCCAGTGCGAGTAACACGAGTCCACAAGTTTGTTGGTCCTTCCATTAAAGCCGCCCTCAAACTTCATCTGCCGCGCTGTTAACCACCGCCGCAGGGCTGCGTAGTTGCAGAGATGCGGGTGCCGCATCAATATCAGGGCCCCAAGACCACACTGCGTATAGGCTCCATGCGCCTCAGTTCCGTGCAATCCACATGCAAATCCCCCTTCGTGCGTCTGACAGGACGCCACATAGGCTGCCGTTTGCTCGGTGAACAAAGCTTCGTCCCGCCCATCACTGTACGCGGCAACCTCATCAAGCTGAAGCAGGGTGGCAATGATGGCTACACTGTACGATGCACGCAGATCTGCCTCGCCACCAACGTGCATACAGAAGCTGCCGTCCTTGCAACGTAACGAGAGTATCCAACGCTTAATGGCGGCACGTGGAAGGGCATGTAGGTATTCCGGTTTTGCCAGTATGCAAAGCGAGCAGGATGCGGCGTAGGACACGGCCAGGTGCGGCTCCTGCGCGATTCGCCCGCCCGAAAACCCCACAAGGCGCTTTTCATCATCGTAACCAGCGTCGCGTAGGTTCACGGGTTGTGTTGGAAACACCGAGTCCTGCCGCTTATTCACATTCAGCGAATTTTTGCTCCCACCATAGTTTTTACTTCTTCCGCCACTACCGTTGGCGTCGCCCGGCTCCACCTCCTGTAGGCAGCCAAGGAGAAATTCACCAAGGGCGTCGGGGGAGACGCATTCGTAGAGTTTCTCCGTAATATCAAGCAAATCCGCGGCTTGTAGGGCCCAATATGCAATCCACGGCTGGGCACTGTAGAGTCCTTGAATGGACTCCGGTAACCACAATAAACAGCTACGCACGTAGTTGTTGTGTAACTTTCGATGCAGACGCGGCGATGTCTCACCATCCCGGTTCGTCTCCTCGGGCTCTGCCCCAAAAGGTGTCCCACAGAGCTCGTGCAGCTCCGGGTGGTATTGCCACAGAAACCGCAAAAGAGCCAACTCCACCTCACGTTGTACCTGCGTCGTCCTCGTCACCGGAGGAACCGGCATCTTGGTGGAAGACATGAAACAAAACACGCCAAAAACTTTTCCACAAGGCACCTGTATTATATATGTATAGCTTGAACCTATGCAGTGTGTGGGTGTGTGGATTTGTGTTCCCCCTTTACGCTCCAGGTCACTACCTGAAAGAAGCTGAAAAACAAAGAACGCAAAGAGAGAAGAATGCTGCATGTATGCATGTGTGGCGTGCGGCAATGCGTTGCGCAGGAATCCACTCACCGGTCAAGCTGGTAAAGCGGTAGCTCATATCCAGCCTAAACGGATTCCTACGGCCCCCGCTACTTACCAGGCAAAAGGCCGCTCCATGCACCCCGCTTAGAACAGTGGCGGATCGGCGCAGGAAGGGCGACACCACAAACAATAACATGAGAAGGCTGCAAGTTAATAAACACGCAGGGCAAAGGTGTAGCCGCAACCCCCCACCTGTTTCCAACATTACAAAAAAACAAACACACCAAAAACAAAGTCCTGGGCGGCATCACACACGCCGTCTCCCACGCAGGCGGTATTGCCGCTTTGCCGACACAAAGAACAAAAGCAACAGCAGCGGCAGCAGGGCTACCGGCGGAAGCAACACCAGGAGGCCATCCTCCCTGACCCTTTGGGGGCGCGTGGCAGCCCCCTCCATCAGCTTCGCCAGGCACTGCGCAAGAGGTGCGCCGTCGTCGGAGTCCCAGGAGGCAAAACGAAAGAGTACATCCCCTGTTTTGCTCAACACTCGATGTGTAAGACGATTTCCCTTCTTACAGTGCACCATGACGCCTGTCTCAACCGAGTGAAAGACGCTATCCCTATGCATCCAACTCTTATCTTTGAATGAGTGATGTAGCCCGGCCCCACCACCCCCGCCGCTGTTAGCGTAGTACTGAAACCCACGTTTGGAAACCTGCAGGTAGTGATTGTCCGCATGAATGTAGAGGGAGGCACAGGACCTCGTCAGTAGTGGGATCAGCCAATCCTGCAACCACGGATAGTTCTCGTGCGGCCCGTTTGAAAGAACCGGGTAGTGTCCGACAACCACCTTGTACGGCACGTTGGCATACATGCGCAAAAGCCAATCCTCCACTACTGCCTTCTGCTTCCCGGCGTCCCAGCACGCGTCTGGGTGCTCGTTGCAGCTGTGCATAAGAACCGTGTCCAACACAACGACCACCATGTCGTTGCTCACCTTCACCACGTAGTATGGATGTGGCATGTACCAACGACCCGTCACCGCCGTCCCATTTGGAGTAAGATTGAACCCGCGGCGCTCATGCGGCGTCGGCTCCCGCGTCGCGTACGTGTAGCTGACTTGCGCTGACCAATTACCCAAGTGGTCGTGATTCCCTAGCGCCACCAACCACGGCACCCGCTGCACCTCGCTGCCCCCACTGTAGACCCCTTCAAAGGTGGTAAAGAAACGTGTATCGTGAACGTCCCGCACACCGTGCGGGTAGAAGTTGTCCCCAGCAGCCACCACAAATCGTATGCGTTCGTCCTGCCGCTGTGGATGCCTCGCGGCGTCCTCGATGAGACGCACAATAAGCGCCGCAATTTCCTTCTGTTGCTTCTGTTTTGAGGGTTTCCCACCCCAGCAGCCATGTGAAATGAAGCAGAAGTCATCGACTTCCTCGCCACCCGCGGTGGTCGACGCCGCCTCTTCCACGACAGGATGGAGGTTGTACGGCGCAAACACGACCTCGGCAAGAGGGACACCCGGTATGGCGGCGTCGACGGTCAGCGCCACTATCCCCACAACGAAGAGGACGACTGCGGCAACAACACCGGGAAGGCAAAGCTGCGGGTCGCGGCCACACACGCCAGTCGGCATAGACACGCAGCAGAAAACTTTTCTCTCTTCCAGTGCCAGAAAAAAAAAAAAACGCAAAAACATCAGAAGAAGCGGAGACGACATCACAGGGTGGCAGCAAACACCCACAGCGATGGTGAGAAGGACGATAGCGCACAACGGCAATAACACCAAAGGACCCCGTTTCAAGAAACAACAACAACTGTAGTCAAACCACAAGCAGATAAGCGAAAGTGAAATACCATTTTTTTTTTTGCGAGAACTCTTTATGAGCGCAATCGTGCTTTTCCTACGATTTCCGAAAAAAAAAAAAAAATGTTCCCAATGGTCCTTGAAAAAAGCTCTGCTTATGCCCGCTTGACTGCCCCACCTCGAGACACACGCACGTGACTGCAGACGTATAAAACTGGACGGGACATGGGAAAACAAACAAACAAACAAACAAACAAACAACAGAGGAATCTTCACCGTGACAAGGAGGGTACTATGGGCAGAGGCAGGCACCCGTCACACCCACTCAAGGTGTGGAAGACTCAGTTGCGTCAGTAATGTCAGTAAACAGCTACAAAAAAAAACAAGATACATGTAGGTCCACGTACACACAGCATGCGTCTGTGCGCGGATCATCCATCATTTTTAGTTATTTACACAAATTGTGTTTTTTTTTCTTTTGTTGTCTTTGTTTTTACCTTCCCTCCTTCTTTCTTTACTTCCTCACTTCTTTTTCTTCGCCTTTTCCTCTTACATGTTTTGCTTCACACCTGTGTGGTTTGTTTCCATCTGTTTTCTCCCAATATGCGGGAGTTGTATCATGTTAACTGAGACAACGCAGACATGCCAAACAACAACAAAAAAAGTATTACTCTTGCAACCACCATCCTTTTCAACCTCAAAAATGCGTGTTTGCCTTCCTGAAACCAATACATGCCCCTGCTCCTTTGCTTGCCGAGACACGTGCACACATACATACAGGCTACTTGCAGCGACTGAGCTCAAATTCGTTGATGTGTTGCATGACCCGCAGTGCCTTTACCAATTCGCTGCAGAAGAGATCCATACCCACGATGACGGCGATGCTCATGTTCATGTCATGGCTGATTGTGAACTCTTCGGGGCGAAGCATAAAGCTCGCGTTACGTGGAGCTGTGAGTTCCTCTCGTTCAGTCTTCTCTTCATTCATCCCGTACGGGCATGTGGTGCTGCGGGGGTTTGCCTCACTCTGCCTGTCCCCTGGCAGCGGATATAATAACATGCTGCTGTTGCTGGTGGTAGCCATCGAGAATTTTAAAGTGTTAAGGTGCAGTTCATTCGCCCTTCCGCGCATGGCGGACAACATCTTGCCGTGCACTACGCAAAACATAGCCTTGAGTTCCCTGTTTAGTCGCAGCAGGGCGGAGAAATGGTCTACCGTGTCGAGGTACGACCACGTCTTCGGCTGCTGCACGGCGTTGACAAAGTCCTGCATGGCGTACACCCCGTACCGCTCGATGCTCTTCACCACCTGCGTGGTGGCGTTGAACATTTCCACCAACTCCCCCGCCGCAGGCACCACCCGTTCACGATGGAGAATCGTCAGACCCAGGAGCACTATGTCAAGCGAGGAGATAAGGCGGCGTAGCACCGGGGCAAACTCCCTCTGCTCGTGGACAGGGTAGGGCTTACCGCGGATGGTGGGCTCCAAGGCGGCGTTTTCCACTTTGGGCATCACTTTCCGTGCGGCCGCCCAAAGGCAGACTGTGTGACGTTTTATTGCGAGAAGATCCTGCATCACTTTGGCTTGGTTGCTGCCGACGCGCACCTGCATGAGGCTTACCAGGGTGGATAGGTATTCAGAGATCCCGTTCAGAACCCACACCTCCGCGTTGTGCAGCACCTTAATGGTGTCAATCGGAAACACAAAGACGACGATGGCGTAGTACGTCATCACGGAGAGCGCACTCGACACCACGCGGGAAAACATCATCAGTGGGGTTGAGGCAATTTGAACCATGGACGGAATAAGCAGCGCACAGTAAAAGGAGCAGTGAAAGTAGGACGGAAAGACCCTCGTGAAGAGCACCACCATAATAACCAGAAGCGAAAGAGCGGAAGTCTCAGCAAAAGATGTACTGGTACTGGTTATCAGGTACGCGACGGATGCAGCAAACACGAGCCCCGCCACACGCTGAATTCCTGCCATCAGTGAGTCACCTGCCGTCGGAAGCCCCACGCCCATGAGGATTGTCATTCCAAAGTAGTACCTGCTATCATAACCGACGCTAAGAGTCCAATAACACGCCATGGTGTAGCCGCAGGCAATCTTGAACGCATCCTTCACCACCCGCACGTCATATGGCGTGGCCAATGTGAGACGCTTAGGCAGCTCCGTCCAAAAATCATTCCAGTACTCAAGGATGATGAAGTCCCAAATGCGCCGAGACGCAGGCGTGTACAGCGAAGAATCAAAGTTGCGCATCGCCTCAACGTACCGCAGCAAATCCTCTCCAAACAGCACCATCATAAGGTGAGCAAACACAACGTACATGTACCACACTGGGTCTAAATTACCAAGACGGCCTTTCATCATGTCGTAGTGTATCTTATCAATGGCAGATTGCAGATCGGACGTCGTCGCATGCAGGATCATCTAGCGGAACTTTCTTCACCACATCTTTCGGGTTCAAGGCATGCCCCAAACCCCTCAGTGTCTCTTCTACGGCCTGCAAGTATGGCTCGAGTGTCTCTTCCAGGCGCCCACGGACGATGTCCACACTGGGGTTCCTCACCCTATCAGACTCTTTCCGCTTCAGGTCCAAGGAATGAATTGTTTTCACCACAACAGCTAAGGCGTGCAACATGGGCATGATGCCACCCATCACCTTGATGCGCTCGTTTCGCAGCTGCCAGCGTAGGGGTGATTCCCACGGCTCGTAGCGGACCATGTTCAGTTGAGGCGGCAAAACGGTAAACATTGCCTGGATAGGCTCCGAGGATGTCTTTGAAAGCGCTGCGGCCGCCTCAAGAGGGTTCTCTGTCCAGCATCCCTTGACACAGTTCCGCATCATAACTCCCATGTGGCGCCATGCACCCGCCATGGCGTCATCCACGCGTTTGCTCATCGTAAACGGTGGCAAAAGCGCCTGGGCAAAGGAAAACGTCACGGAAAGGCAGATGTCACGAGCCACATAGATAGGTAAATACGGCCCGTTCGCAAACGGCTGGGCGCGTTGCACCTCCATAATGACCAGAATCATCATGATCGACAGGCGTTTACAACGCACTTCTCCGAATAGGCCTACAAAAAATGTTCCAAAGAATACGGCACACCACCACGCCACATCGTGCTCAAGCACGTTGAACACATACATCAAGGTTCCCCATAAAACCGTCCAGAGACACATTTGGAACACCGTGCATAGCATGCATATCTGCTCACCTACCGTCTCCTGGCTGTATGCGATGCCGTACAGGCAGAGAACCCTGAACATTGGAAATTTATGCGCAACCTCACGGGAAATAAGCATTAGCGGTAAGGCGGAAAAAACCGTAATGCGAAACGCCAAAAGCGCCGGTCGGCGAAACTTGGGCGAGAGAAACGTGTACCAATACGACTCAAGGCTCACAGAGTCATCATGTATGTCCCGCCACATCTTGAGCTTAGGTGTCTCTATCTCCTCCCCGGTGTTGAGCAACTCCTTCATTAGGTTCTGCCGCCAGACGCGGTTGGCGGATATGTAGTTCCAGTCTATTGGCTCCATGGCGTCCTCAGCCTTTTACTCACCTCAGTGCCACCACACACACGCACACACTCCCACCCACTAAGCCGCCTTGGATGGGTTATAATCTTGGCTCTCTTACTGACTTTTTTATTTGCTTCTGTTCTGCACCCGTTGCAACGGGTGCAGAACTCCGTCGGTCTGGAGGAAAAAAAAACCAAAAACAAAGGCAAAGACTGACATGCAAAAAGGTACACAGGACGAGACGCCAGAGAAACAAAACCTGCACCTCTCCAGCATCAGTTCGTCTCCCTGTTTCCGCACAGTTTCTTCGGGCGGGTGCAGAGCGGACAGTGAGATTCCCGTACCCTCCCCCCCCTTTTCACAGTGTGAGAGAAGACAACACAAAATGAAACTTTGGCGTCAGCGAGGCTCAACGCATATGCACGCATTCTGGGGAAAAATAATGAAGTAAACATGCGATGCACAAACAAGCACAAAACAATAACAATAAAGACATATACATGCATAAAACACGGAGCGGTTCTGGAAGACTTTATCGAGCAGACAATACATACATATATTCTACGTCTTTAGCTCGGCGGCATCGCCGTCAAAACATTGCTTTACCACTACGGTCGCTCCGTGCCCCTTCAATGTTTGTCAACATTCGCCGTGAGTTCCTCCCACGCACGCTGCTCCAGCATCGTGACTTGCTCCCCGCCCCACGAGCACCACGCTGACTCAAATAAAAAGCTCAATATCACCAGTACTTCCGCCGCATGTAACCGGTGCCCTCAACCGCGGTGTGGGCAGCTGGGCGATGTCGGCGGTCAGAGGGCGCTCGACTTCGGCTGGGTGGAGGCGGAACCATTAATGCCAGCCGCCATCGCATGAATGAGGCCTTCCTTAGCAGCAAGGAGGCAGCGAGCGTTAACATGGTTCAGCACCGTTTGCCACTGTGCTAACAAAAGCTTCCACGAGAGATGTGCCTCGCGTTCGAGGTGCACTCGCTGCGACTGCTCTGCCTCACGTAAGAGGCTGTATGTGAAGGATGCCCACCCCACCTCTGCCGTGCAGGCACCGCTGAGAGGCATCCGTGTTTCTTTCACAGGAGACGAAGCTCCTGTCATCGTTTTCTCCCCATTCTGCAAAAGACACGTCGCAGCCTCCTGCAGCTGCGCTTGGCACGCAGCCTCATATTCTCCCTCTCCCTTCTTCACAGCACTGACGACGGGGGTCAGAAGAATCTCCTGAGCATGTAGCCGCCGCTGCATCCACACTCTTGCCTCGCTTGGATCCTTTTCATAGAGCATTGGCGGTTCCACAGTCTGTGCCCGTGTTTCTGCATCCAAACCTGCAGCTATTTCCTCACGTGCAGTAACGAGTAACGTGACACGTCCCACCCGCTCCTCCACCGCGAGGGCGTACCGTCTCACCGTCTCCTCTGCGTCACATCGAAGCAGCCACAGCCGCTTCTGATCAATGTGTGCCTGCGCTGCTACCTGCCTAGCAGTCCACCTATCGAATCCCATGTTACATACAACGCTGTCTCCCTGAGATCCACGCACTGTTGAAATCAATGAGGATTGAACCACTGTCCCTGTTGTTGTTGTTGTTTCCGCTGCCACTGCCGCCGCTGGTGGTAGTGGTAATGATGGCAGCGAGGTGTACACGTCTTCGGGTACACCGCGTGGGGCCACATACGACGGCGACGAGAGTCGTCTATCGTTTGGCCATGCAAGACTTCGACTCTCAATGTTGGGGTCCCGATTATCGCAGTATTCCTGTAATGCGTCGTAGTGCTCTGTTTCCTGCACCTCCTGCCAGCTGGAGGAAATCGGTTCAGAAGACAACGGCATTCCCTTCGGCACAGCCCTGCCGCTCCCCTCAGAGGATAAGGCGCGTCCGCGCTGGGTGCGCTGCAGCAAAACCCCCGGGGGAAACAGCCGCGCCGTCACTGCGGACTTCCCCTCACACCACGCAATCGCCACATCCACCTCATTTAGAAGCCGCAGTGCGTGCAGCCCCGGCGATGCCCCATGGCCGTTGGTGCGACGGTGGGCATCGTCGTCGTGGTTTCGCGCGCCACCTCTCATGGGCGGTGCCGCCATGTCAGCGTCCAGCGCAAAGTATCGCTGGTCTTCTAACCGCGTCAGCGTGCCGGGGCTCGCCAGCGCCTCATAAGCCGCGAGGATGCCGTCCACAAGAAGCGCCTGGTCCTCGGCAAGCGCACGAGCGACGTTGTTCTCAAGCGACCGCAGGCGGCGCGCGCGGGGTGCGCTTGCCGCCGCCGCCGCCGCCAACGGCAGGCCGATGGTCAAGCCACTCCCCCGCCTCATCGCCACGGACGCGAGAGGGACAAAAGCAGGTCGGTCCTCCCGCCCCTAAAGCAACGCAAGCAGAAAAAGGTGAAAGTACAAACCAAAAATAAGAAAGAAAAAATTGGATTGCGAACTGCTTCTGCGGTTCCACATGCCCCCCACCCCCCTCCCACCCCGCCCGCGCTGAAGGGGTGCACCCACTGATAACCTACAAACGGTAAACAAGAGACACACCAAGTCACTCTGGCGCGCCACCAGGCTTCTCGTTGTCAACGCACAAAGTTGCGGTCGCCGAAACCCTCTCCCCCCCCCCGTTCTCGCTCTCTCTTATCCACTCGCAGCCACCCAACTCTCCCCCTTCCCCAGCGTGGTGGATCGTGGTCGTAAGGGGGTTTAGAGTGATGCTAAACAAACAAACTAACAAACATACACACGCACACACATTACAGCCGCACCGCACGCTAACGCGGCATCCTCGTAGTACATCCACCAAGAAATAACTACATTAAAACCAACACACAAAATTAATGCATCTTTTTTTTTTCCACCTATTTGGCCTCATCTCAGCGCTCATTTACCCCACGCGCTTCTTAAACAGGAGCAAAAGGGATGCACCTCCTTGCACGTAAGCAGGTCTAATGGAACGGCAACGCCAATCAGCACTCGAACAAGATAGGAGCAGTGCAAGACAAGAAAAATAGGAAGAAAAACGACGATAACAATGAGCATCATCACCTGCAAAAGTCTCTCGCACGGTCGCCCTCATACAACGAAGAGACCAAAAAACGCCAACAACAGCGACGGGTAAAAAAACAAAAAACAAAAAAAAAGGCCTTGCCACGGCACAAGGAGGTGATAATTAAGACGTGTAACTCATTGATATGCCGAACAGTGAATTCAAATGAGGTCGTTAGCAAGACGACAAAGGCGGGAAGGACACTCTTCTTGAATGCTTATGGAAGAGCATCACCGTTGCCTGACGGTCTCCAGCAGCTGCTGATGAATCCCGTCAAAGAGGTGGTACTCGCCCACGGCGATAAAGACATCCTTCAAGGACACCTGAACATCGACGGCAAGCACGCAATCCAACCTCAGGGGCCACACCGTTTCCGTTGGTTATACGGGGTTACGACGACAGCCACAAGCTAAAAAACTGCTATTGCTGTTGCCTCCTCCAAAGCGCAGCGTTTACGGCGCCCTCCTAGTACTCGCCTGACGGCGGGGTTTCAAAATTCGAAGTCCCAACTCACTCCGCACCTACCTAACCTCCTGCTGCGCCCGCGACAGTTGTATAGCCATTTGTGTCCACTCACTGCCCAAGTACATGCCCTTTTCCGGAAGAACGTAGGCGGCGGAACCGAATGCGGTCCCTGGAGACATCAACTGCAGCGCCAACGCTATGTTGTCCTCCCCGCCCGCGTAGATCGGCATAGTCAGAGCACCAGAACTCACGGCAGGCGTGGCCGCGTTCACCAAGCACGCACCGCCCTGCAGCATATTTGGAGTGTCAGGGTACACGCCAATGGGGAGGTTGGGCACGAAACCCGGAGCGTACTGCACCTGCGTGCCGTAGGCAAACTGCGCGGCGCCGCAATTGGTGCGTTGATGCGGCGCTAACGGCTGGACGTTTCCAAATAGGGCACCACAAGCAAAGCAGTAAAATATATTCTTTTAAAGGTGGCGAACCCCCAGCGACATGAAAAAAGTAAACCATATACGGGGAAGACCAGCTTCAGTCAGCACATCGAAACGACGCGGAAGACGGACAAAGCGAGAAAACGTGGGAGAAAACGGAGGCATCACCACAAAAGGCGGAATCCCCTCAAAACAGTAAATAAAAAGCGGCTACAAATGTGCATCTGGCTGCAGCCTTGTTTCTCCTATTTCCTCAAGGAAAGAGTGCTTCAGTGGGGAAACTTGCGGTTTGGTTCCATGTGCGCCCATGCTCATCCCTCATGGAGGCGGAAATGTACTCCGCACACGCATAAGCAAATAAATTCAAAAAAAAATGCATATAACATGACAAATGAGCACTTCTACTGTGAACTCACAAAGTGACACCCATTGGAACGCCGCAACCACCGGAATCTTTCGCGTGAAGGGTGGTATCCATGGTAGTGTATGAGTGGGAAAAGAGAAAAACAAACAAACAAACAACCAAAGGGGGCTGCCCTCCCACACGGCTTCACCTAATTGACCCAACCAGGCCGCACATTCCCCCCAGACGCCTCCCGACAACAGGGACAAAACCAAACCAAACCCAATGCACATGCCACGCATGGACGTGTCGTCACACCTCACCCCGTGAGCCCCCGCAGTGAAAACCCCCTCCCCCACACAACATATATATTATATATATATATATATATACTCCTCCCTCAGAAGACGGTGCGCTCATGCAATGCAGCCACCACATCGAGCTCCACCTTGAAGCGATCCAGCAATCGTTTCTTCAGCTCACGACGACGCCGACGCCAAGCCGGTGCGACGCAGCACATCGTCCTTGATGGCGCCTCTACACGCGCTGCCAGAATTTCTGCTTTGATGGAGCGCACCTCGGCATCCTTGCCCATCGTCGGGGGGCTGGAAACGTCACGTAAGAGGTGGAGAGGATCAATACAGATACTGCAGACCCAATCAATTTCAAACCGAGGCGTTGTCCCACGTTCCTTGGGGTCCACGTAGTGGCGCAAAGTTTGTTTGTGCTGCAATATAATTAGTTCCCGGTCACTGTCTTCACTTGTGTCTTTTTCCGCGTACACATGGACAGTCCAGAGGAGGTCTTGCATGCGCCTGCACCACGGAAATCGAAACACGCCGGTAAGCCACTGAAGAGGAAAAAACACAGCTTCCTGCACCATGTACTGCATCACACGAAGCGTTCTACTCTGGACAGTGTACTTCGGCAATACTAACACCATGGCATCGGCTGTGTCGTGGCTCGGCGTCGCTCTCTTTGGTGTTGTCTCTGCGGCCACAGCTGGTATGCCTGAGGCGTCGCTTCCAAAAGAGTTGCGCCGTCCGTCTTTTCCCCGCACCTGCAGCATGCCGCTCTTCAGCAGCACGGCAAGCAGTAGCGAGGCACCATCCGCTGTGCCTAGCCGCTGCTGCTCCACTTGCCAAACAGAGCGCAGCGCCAGCGCATCTTCACCGCACAGCTCCATAAGCAGCTCAACGGCGGTGCGTACGCGCTCACACCTCGAGGCGAGAAACTCCTGCTTAGCCTCCTCCGAGTCACCCGCCGCCATCCCCAGTATCGGGTGCTGCCGCTGCTTTTCCCTTTCTTCCGCAGCGCAGTAGTTGTGGCGCGAGGCGGTCCTGACGTACACGGGGATGCGTGGAAAGTCACGCGTGACGGACGTGGGGTCCTTTCCAACCTCGCACAAAAGCCGTACGCGCCACGTAACCTCGCCCACACTGTCGTCCCCGTTCGCCTTCAACGGTGTCTCGCACCCATCACCTTTGCAGGAGCCGTATGACGCCGCCGAGCCCATTTTTTATTTCTTTTCTTTTTGACTTTTCGTGCTTCTGTTTTACTAGCCGCCGAGTCCCTCACAGCCTCTCCCTCCCTGCCTAATAATACCCTTGCCTCCTTCTCGTCTCGTCCTTACGCTCACCTGCAGGCAAGAAGACATTGGGACAGGAAAAGGCACATGCAAGCAATGACAGCCATATGTGCAAAAAAATGACTGCGTGCCGTGCAGGGCACAACGATCTCCCACTCCCTCTCGTACTCATTTGCTAAAAGGTCTGCGGCCAGATGTATCCTAATAGCATATTTGCCCTACAGAGATGTATGCTGCTACAAGTAATACATATATATGCGTATACATATATACATACATGCTTGTATCCGTTTCTTTTTTTTTAAAAATATATTTTATTTGTTTCATCATTGTCTTCACATCTACCTTCTTCCCTCACCTCAACGGCAATGCAAATACATTGCTTCCATGCGTCGTCGTACCACTTCACCACGCCCGTCAACGTATATAACCATTTCTAGACACACACACACACACAGAGGGAGAGGGAGAGGGAGAGAGATACATATATACATATATACTAGTAGTACCTGCAGAGGCATATGATTGTTGCTATAAATTTTTTTTCCTTTTAAAAATGCTTCATCTCATAACCTCAACCACAAGAGTCCTCGATGATTAAATAAATATACTTGACAACTCTTTTTTACCACTGCTTTTTTTCCCGCGACTATCAAGAGAAACACGGGGCGCAGAGGGAGGAACACACCCACCCACAGAATAGATAAAAACTGCGAGAGTGTTAGGTGCAGGAAACCCACCGGATCCATCCATGCATTTGGCTGTTTCAGCGACGTGGAAAGTGGGCACATAAAAACACGTACACCTTCCCCCCCCAACACACACATACACACAGAAAGAGAGAGAGAATTACTCCCGCGGTAAAGCGGATTCCAGGGAAACAGAGGAAGCCGCGTGCGCTCACTTACACTTACACGCACGTGCGCAAGACCTAAGTTTCCCAACTTTGGAAATATAACAATAAACAGAATATAAGTGGCATCCAAAAGCATGAAGCCTTAAAACACATACGCACACACAAATAAAAAAAAAACATTGCCTCTCTGCACGTATTTATATATAAATATATAAATACATGCAGGAATAGTTTTTGCTGCATGCCGCATCTTTTCCAGCTCCTTTGCTGGGGTAAAAGTTAGTATACTTACACAAGTGTCTGTGCATGCAGTTAATAACACACACAAAAAACAAAACAAAACAAAAACAATCAGTGGAACATTACACACAAGTTTTTCGTTTTTCGTTTTACGCCTACCTGAGGTACACACATACAGTCCTAGTTTGGCGACTGGGAGTCAATGACACCGACAATGAAGGGTTCCATCAACCCCTCACAGGAGACCCAAGGGTGGTAGTAGTCGTACAACGCCGTGCAGTCCCTCCCCGCACACTGCCGCAGAAGGCGCTCGCCACCGGGGTGGAAGCGTTGAAATTTCGTACAGTCGCACACGAACCCCCTCACCACAAGCCAAAGGTCGTCGGGGCTCGTGTGCCTCATGACCTCTTTCATTGTCAGTCGCGGAAGCTCTGTGCTGTGGCGCCGCGCCGAGCCGCCCCGCTTCTCATTTTCCTCATTGCGCTGCTTCTCCACGCAGACACCCCAGTCACGCATCGAACACCCCATCTGGCGAGGGACTTTGCCGCGCGGAATGGATCTGAGAATCTCGGGCGTTACAGGTATGTAAAAAGTGTCATCTCCAACGAAGGGCTCAACGTCGGCTCCACTCTTGCACGGTAGCGGTGGCAAAGGCGGGGAGGGTGCTGATGAAAATGAGAGACAAGGGACAGCGAAACTGCCCGATGCGCCGCAGCTTCCCGCGCTGGCGAAACTATTGCCGCTCTTGTGTATAAGAACGTCCTGAATGTCCTGCTGCATTGCGTTCTCCCTGTGGCGAAGTTATATCCCACCCAAAGCTTCTTCCCCCACACGCGGCAATCGCAAACCAGCGAACGGGAGATGAAGAAAAAGCCTTCGGGAAACCCTTCCACTTCTTCCCGTCACTTAACGTGTCTCGCAGACGGGGGCTTCCGGCACCCGCTAGAGAGAGGCTTACACTCAGAATCCCAAAAAAATTTCTCCCGTGACGGTCTCCCCCGCTTCTCCACACACACAAACAAACACACGCGGGGAGAGGCGGACACGCAGGCAGGCAGTCAAAGGGTGCAAAAAAAAGGGGCGGATTAAATTCCGCCAGACAAAACCCACAATAAATATTAAAAACAAAACAAAAAAAATACTGAATACACACACACACACACAGAGAGAGAGAGAGACTCCACGCAACACAAAATAATGGTAATAATGATGATAGGTACAACGAAGGACGGACTCGTACTTATCTCCTAAGGTGCGGCAAGGGAGAGAGAGAGAGACGGGGAAAAAAGGAAGCGGCACCGGTGTGGCAGGAGGTGCAGTCAGCAGAAAGCACGAGGCGAGCACAACAACGTGCGATGAACAATTGCAAAAAACATGGGCCGCCGTTGGGTGGCCGGCTGCAGAGAGAAAGAGAGAGAGAGAACAAGACAAAAAGGAGGGAGGTAGGTGGAAAAAAAAAACCAAAAAAAAAAACAAGCAAAACAACAGCTACACGATGACATAAAAGACACGCACGCAAACCAGGGAAGATAAAACCAAACAAAAAGGACAAATAACAAGCTCATTATGACCACGCCGCCTCATGATGCACCGGGCGACTAGAGTGACCTCTGCACTACACTGACACCGCCGGCCCCTGTGTCCTTCACACTAAAAACCTGCGGCCCAACGAGAGGTTTTGGCGACCAGCGCGTTGTGTCGCCACCCCGCACAACACGATCCACATCCTCGACGTCAGGACGCAAAAAAGGACACGCAAAGGGCACATGTTGCCACTCCGCCACCCCGCGCCTTGTGTTTGGTTCCACATGGCCGCGATACTTTGGCACAGGCCGCGTCTCCCAGCAGTCCCACATGATACGATCGCTTTTGTCGGGCGTTGGCCGCGGCGGGGTTGGCGGTAGAAGCGGCATACGTTGGTAGCACGAAAGCATCACAACGCCGTTTCCATCAGATGAAGGCGGTGGAACGGCGGGGAACATCTCTATCCGACCATCCGACACAAGACGCATGATGTGGGAGTCCGTGATCATCGGGCGCGGCGGTGGCAACGATGCCAGTACAGACGTCTCGGACGGCCGGGCGGGGGGGCGCGGTGCAGGCGGCGCAATGAAGGGAACAAAACGTGCCGCCTGCACTGCCGCTGCCTCCTTGTTAGTGTCCCCAGCGTCATCCTTGGCGTAGTCGCTTGTTGAGAAGAGCCGCAGCGGCTTCATTGGAGGTATGCGCGGGAGTAGAAAGGTTTCGCACGGTGTCAGCTCCAGCGGCACGCTCAACCCCGCAACAGAGAGCACCATACTCCACCACAGCGTGAAGGCATCCACCTCCGCCGTCGCCGAGGGCGGAAGCTTGCGCAGCTCCTCTACGGGAGGGGAAGCGTCCAGCGGGAGCTCCCGCACGTCTCCTGCGGTTGCCGTCGCGGCGGCGGCGGCGGCAGCGGCGGCCTCTCCAGTCACCAGCGGACGACCGGCAAGGTCCATGACAACAACGGTGCCGTCCGCACGGCGCAAGAGACCACGTGACACCCACCTTCCCCGCGCCCAACACCCGGCGTAGACTTCACCGTTTGTGTACCGACGAATCCCCAGCATCCGGCGCTCCTCTATGCGTCGATAACAGCGGTCACACACACGCATTGCACCCTCTATTTTGAAGTGCAACGGCATTGGCGCCCGGAGTTGCGAGCAACTGTCACAGACCACTTCCCCGCACAAGCGGCAGTGATGCCGCCGAAGAAAGAGTGAGAAAGTTGCCTGGCACTGAGCACAGTTCTGACTGTGAGCGTCGTCCACCATGACCGGTGGCACAAAGCAGTCATCGCGCTCGTTGCCATTTTGATACGTCGTCTCGTACACAGTCTCTGTGGAGGCGTCGTAGATGCGTACAAATCCAGTCAACATATCGTCCTGCCATTCTCCCTCAACGACGCAGTCGCCAAAGTATTCCCTTCCCTTTCCTTGCTTTTTGCCATCGCGGAAACTGCCGTAGAATACGCTGGTCGCCATCAAAAGCTTGCCTTCACCTTCAATGCGGCCAAACACAAAATCTCCGCTATATACAACACCATCTTTTCTATGTAAAATCCCTGTACCGTGCCACTGCCCATTCTGCCACTCCCCATTGTAGCGGCCACCATCCAGTTCGTACGATTCCCCTCGTCCATGATGGCGCTGCTGTTCATCCAGCTCGCCGTGATAGTGCAGAGTGGTGAGCTTCCCATGCTGCCATACTCCCTCATAGGCGGAGCCGTCATCCGCGCAGTAAATCCCCGTACCATGCCACTCATCGTCGGAAAACTCCCCCACATACTTTTCGCCGTTTTGCATCATTTGCACACCTCTGCCGTGGCGGCGGCCCTTATCAAAGGCACCCATGTAATAACCCTCTTTTCCCCACCACAACGAACCATAGAGGTGTGGAATACAACTCCACGTGTACCCTTCATACACAACATACGACGCGTTCGTGTGGATGGAAGAAGAAGAAGAAGAAGAGGAAAAACGCGGCAGCGAAGTATCCTCCTTATCTAAGTTTCCTAATAAGGGTGCTGCTGCCGTCGCCACGGTTGCCTCTTCCTCAGTCGCCGCGTTTGAGGCCGTGGAGGCCTCTGAAACGGCAAGGCAGCGCATCGGTATCCAGATGGTATTAAACTCCAGACCCAACATCGCCGTTCGTGCGCAGTCCACGCATGCAGGCAATTGCACAGGCAGGACAAATGTATTGCCTGCGGCGGTGGTGGGGGAAGCAGCCGCAGTGGTGGTGTTGTTGTTACTTCCACTAATATCTTCGCCTTCACTCATCCGCATTCGAAGCAGCGCCTCAATTTTTGGGTGACCGCGAACCTCGAGGGGGTGTAGGCAGGAGCTGCAGCTTCGCTGCTCACAAAGTGCGCAGCGCGCCTCCTTGCGGAAGAACGTAAAGGGTCTGTCACAGAATACGCAACTCTTGTATCCCGCGACCCCACCCACGTTACCGTCACTCGTCACCACCGCACCGTGGATCTTGTCGTGTAGAGGAGCATCAGGCCGGTGCGGAAGCATCAGACGCGGGTGGTTGCGCAGCCACATCGTACGCAGGCAGACACCAGACGTGAAAAAGACATGCCCCTGGCGCTCCTGCACCCCCACCGAAATCATAGCCGGGGGCTTAATCGACGCGGTTGCCCCACCACCATTGTTGAGGCCTGCCTGCGACGCACCAGCTGCCACCACCGCACCACCACCACCGCCGTCGCCACTGTTGCTCCCGCTGTTACTTCCACTGACGCCGTAAGCCGTTGAACTCGAACTATTCCCAAGCCGTGCCATAAGTGCCTGATACATGGCGTAGGGAAGCGACATGATATCCCACTCACCCTGAAGCACAAAGTGTTCACGGAAGCCAATGACACGTCGGGTGTCTTTGTTCTCCGGCAACGCTTTTCGACGAAAGAGACTGATGAAGCGATCCATCACGCCCACGTAAGTGGGGCTGCTCATGACATCCGCTTGCGCAGCAGCTTCATCTTCTGGGGCGTAAATGGGCTGCCTTTTGTCAGTTGCGTAAAAGACACCGTTACCCACCGGGGCATCACGCTCCCAGTCTCCCTCAAAAAAAGAGCCGTCCGTCAGCCACACCTGACCTTTGGGTCCGTCTCGGAGCCCGTCTTTAAAGCCACCCAGGTACACATCACCGGAGGGAAACTCCCACGACCCCGCTTCGCACGACAAGACATCCTGTGTCCAGCTTCCCATGATAACATGCCCAGCAAGCCGAAACACACCAGCACCGTGTCGTACACCGTGGCGGAAAAGACCAAAGTATTCAAATGGCGGTTGTGTGCCTGTGAAGGTGGGGGCCCCACCGCCTACGGGCATGGTGGGCGTGTTGGCGCCGTTTCCGCTCGTCACACATATGGGCGGTTCCCGAAGTATCAGGCGTCCTATGCCGTTAAACGTTGCGCCGTCCCACTCGCCGTCGTAGCCCTCTATAAAGACGTCGTTGTGCCACATCCCAGCCTGAATGGATCCACTGGCGCTCTGTAGAATGCCTTGCCCCTCCCGCATGTCATTGACAAAGCACCCGCTGAACTCCCCGCCATCCGCGTAGCGGATGTTGCCTGGTCCATGCCGTTTGTTATTTACAAAGCATCCAAAATAAAAATCTCCGTTGCGGTACCACAGCATCCCACGGTGATGCATCATCTCGCCAAGCCACTTACCCTGGTAGCACACGCCACTTCCTGGAGCCGAGTCGTGCCAGAACAGCGTGCCGTACCGCCGCTCTCCCTGCTCAAACTCCCCAATAAAGGTCGACACACCAGGGTAGGTTACTACGCCTCTCCCCTGGATAAGCCCCTTCACAAAGCGCCCCTCGATCGTGGCGCCTTTCTTCCGCAAGGTGTTCTTTCCCTCACCGTGTCGCATGCCATCCTTCCACATTCCCTCATAGACATCACCGTTTCTGTACCGCATGGTACCATGCCCCTCAATCTTGTTTCTTGTAAACGTACCATAGTACTCGTCCCCGTTGGGAAACAGCATCACCCCCTCGCCATGGCGCTTGTCATGCACCATGGCGCCCTTAAACTCTCCCCCATTCACGTAAATAATTTTTCCATTCCCGTGACGCTCGTCTTTGTTCCACTGACCCGTGTATATCTCACCAGCCACCGTAGTGAGAGTTCCATGACCGTGGCGAAGATTTGATGCCCAATCACCATCGTAAATGTCGCCGTTGGAGTACTTCATCACTCCATGCCCGTGACGCTGGTACCTATAATGAAATTCCCCAGAGTACTCCAGCGGCGCGTGCGTCTTATCAGAGGCTGAAAAGACCGACATGCCCCGTAGCACAAAATCTGTAATGCGGCGACTGTACGTCATTACCCCTTTCCCGTGCATATGGCCCTCGAACCAGCCACCCTGGTAGGTGAAGGCGGAGCTCAGGAAAATACCCTCGCCGTGAAACAAACCATTCTTCCACCCCCCACCGTAGCGGTCTCCACTGCCGTAAAAGTTTGAGGAAGACTTGAACAGCATGATTCCAAGGCCGTGCGGCTGATCAAGCAGCACATCACCGTAATACTCACTTCCGTCGGGCATGATGCGTGTGGGTTGATCCCGCTCACGCGGATCAAAGGCCATAACCTGCTGCGGCGTCACCGGTGTACACAACACAGACACCGCGTCATAAAACATAAGTGGGGGGATGTGGGAGACGTTCTGCTGCGGTGGTAAGGACCGCGCCGGTGCACTCCCCGGCGAAAACTGATCTTCCATGCAGACGACGCAAACGATGCTGGCACCACAGTTGCAGGAATACAACTTTTACTTTCCCTCCTCAACGTTGAGGAAGTTTTCGCCGCCGCTCGAGTATATATATATATATATTTGGTTACCAACGTAAGGACCAACTAGAACTGTACGACGGCCCACAAGCAAAACAAAACAAAAAACGAAAAGGCCACCATCACAACATCACCGGAGAAACAATGCGGAGTATTTACATACACGCACAGATAGAGAGAGATAGAGAGATAGAGAGAGATAGAGAGAGATAGATAGATAGATAGATAGATAGAGAGATAGAGAGAGAGACGCACATAACACCGCCAGGTACTGCCATGGTCCCGCCCACCGACTGTTCCTCCTCAGCGTACACCACCCTCGTTTCCACACAAGGCAGGCGATACGAACGGGCGCACGTTCGTCACTATTGTGTTAAAACACGCACATACACACAACAGGTACAACCTCCCTCGTACTGGCATGCACCCGCCTTATTGCAAATCAAAATTATGTAAAATCCCCTCTCCCAAGCCTTTGTTTTTTTTTTTGGTTTCTTGTTAATGGCTCTTCTTTTTTGTTTTCGTTTGCCTCCCCTGCCTTTCCTCGCAGAGTTGATAATGGCCCAAAAATACACGTCACCGCCAACACACACACACACACACAGCATCGTCATATACCCATTTTGTTCGTGTACATATTGTTGTGTCAAACCAATCCACCCATTCCCCACGTTCTTCTCCCTCGCTTTCTTTACGCGCTCTCCCCACTGCGATCGCCCTCGCAGTGCTCCTCAAGAAATGCCGAGAAATCGCAAAGGAGTTCGTCCCAGTCCAGTCAATTGATGAAAGACCGCGAAGTACTCACCACACAGCAGCAGCACCCCCGTCAGACACAACCCCAAAATTCCAAAAGCCTCGACACCCACCTCCATTGGAGTTGAAAGATTTCCAAAGCATCTTGGCTCTCCCATCTCTGTTTCCATCACGCGGGCCATGTCGTACCTTCTTCGCCGGGACTTGCAGGAGAGCGTCTCGTAGGCCCCATTAATACTCGCCATCTTCTCTCGTGCAGCTTGCTGCGCCGCCGCGTCATTGGCAACCCGGTCCGGGTGCGATGCTAGCGCAGCTTTCCTATAGGCCCGCTTAATCTCCTCCGCGCTGGCGGTGTCCTGTACCCCCAACACTTTGTAGAGATCCTGCTTCGGCACACTGTTGTCGCCGGGGGACGTGAACGGTATTCTGAAGGCGGCCGCCTCTGCCTCCTCTTCTTCTCTTGCCTCCTGCTCGCGCAAGTCCTCCTGCTCGTCCTCAGGCGTGGGTGGATGCAGCTTCTCCAGCGTTTCAAATATCCATACGGCGAGCCTCATCGTTACCTGGTAAATAACTGGGGAAAACGCAAGAAGGGCGATACTTTCGCCCCAGAACACCGAGCTTCCCGTCGGTTCGCGTGTCACACACCGGCCAACCCACGCACCGGCTACACGCGCTGAGTACACAAGTAACATTTGTGTGGTTTCCCTCGTAAAGTAAGATACATACGACTTCAACAGGCGCCACCGCGACGTGCTTTTGTGCCGCGCATCGTAGAACCTTACGCACCAGAACAAATTCCCGGTGATTGCATGCGTGAGCTCGCAGACAAACCCACTCACAAATACAGCATACGGCACACTCTGATTGTACAATTGACAATAATATCGCAGGCTTTCACTGTATTCCATTGGAAGGGTCTGCGATGAGTCACTGTCGCCTTTCACCGAAAATGGCATAAACCCGGCCACGGACCTACCCAGAAGCCGCCGCAGGCCAGAGGGAAGAAACGTGCGCCCCAGTGAGGACATCAGCCGTGTAACCCAGCAGCAGCAAAAACGGTATTGTTGCACGTAGTGGAACGCCATGTGAACCACCCCTGCTTCATGTAAGAGAGAAGTCTCACTGTTCAGCAGCGACCCTACTAGAAAGCACTCAATCATGCGATGCAATATCAATTGTGAGAGCGTATTCATAGGGTTTCCTGACGGTCCCAGGCGATAGCCGGTAAAAAAATTCATGGACGTGTCCAGTAGGGTCTGGAACAGCTCAGCGAAGGCAGGGCCGGAAAAATAGTCTGAAAAGAGCAGGCTGGTGAGCCTCGGTCCAGGACCCCCCGACAGCCCACTCCCGGCATTCTGCATCACGATTCCTCGCCTCCTTCCTGCTAGTAAATTCCTTTAACTGTGCCCTCGCCTGCTCCACTTTATTTTCGATTTACCTTGCGGTAAGTAAGACGCCGGAGGGACCGTAACGGTTTTCCTCCCCTCCCACACTCCCCTGCAACAATTAAATAGTAAATACGCAAACACGTATATATATATATATATACACGCCCTTCCCTGCGTGGGTGCAGACAGAGAGACTAATAAAAATGAGGAAGAGGAGCGCATGTAATCCAACGAAATACTGCGGGGTTCTTCGTTACACTTCCCTGTTTTTGGTTATTGATGCTACTCCCCTCTTCGCCTCACCAACAAAACTGCGAAGTGCGCAAAGAAGGCGCACACGCTGAGGCGAAGATGCCAAAAAAAAACGCAAACAGACAATGATACACCAAGAGAGGGGCGGCGCTCCCTTTTGACCGCCTCGGTTCCGTGCTGCCTGATGGTGTCTTTCCGCCCTCTCCCATTAAGCTGGTCGCGACTTCGTTTCAACAAACTCTTCTTTTTTTTTCTTTTTTCAAGTTTTTGACCTGCACGAACAAACCCAACATGGCGGAGCACATAAATTACACATCAGCTTCGTTCCTTGAAGCGTCCGGAGTCACTAGCGAGTAACACACACATAGACAGACATACATGCAGACACATACATATGTAAACCATACAAACACAAACAGACGTGGAACTCTCAACACCCACGGAGACGTTCCCACACGACTGACTACACCCACCAAACCCTCACCCCCGCGCGAAAATCGAAAAAAAGATATAAGTAGAAGGAGGGGGGAAGGGAAAGTAGCTACAAAAAAAAAAACCAACAAATCCCTTAATATGCGTTCACGTGAACACACCATCCCAGCATCACCCCTCGGTTTCATTTTTATTGTTGTACATTTCGCTCGCGGTAACCTCCTCCTCCTCCTCCTCGGTTTTGTGCATGACAGGATGCAGGAAGGATGCCGCACGCAAATGAAACCATCATGCATATATATATATATATATATATATATATAGACTATGATGTACACCTGTCCCCCACACTATACTTCCAACATCGCTGCTCGCTAGCGCTCTCGTTCGTTGTTGTTGTTTTCATCGCAATCATCTACCATTTATCAACGTTATCGTACCGCCAAAGATTGACATTCCCGTCCCCACCGCTGGTGGCCATCATTCGTGTCTCCGCGTGGTAGCGCACGCGAAACACGCACCCTGCATGCGCCTTTGCCCGCCACACAAGTTCCCCGGTGGATGCGTCCGTGAGGCACACGCTATAGTCCCGCGCGCATGTTAAAACACCTCTGTTATACGGCAAATACTCTGCAAACTGCACTGGACGCAAATGACCAAAACACTTTTGCACGGGCTCACGGGGCTGTCGCAGATCCCATATATTCAGCGTCCTGTCAATGCCGCTCGAGGCAAACTGCTGTTCATCGCCGCGAAATGCGCATGACCAGATGGTTCTTTTGTGCCCCAGAAATCTCGCCGTGACAGAGTTGTTGCCAAGCCGGAAGTCATGCGCGCAGACAAGCTCATCGTCACCGCCGGAGAGCGCAAACCAGTCGGAAAGCCTCGACGTCGCTAGTGCAAAGACAGACGCAGTGTGGCATTTATCCGTCAGCACGCAGCTGCCTGTTTGGATGTCCCAGCAGCGCACGGTGTTGTCCATGGAGGCCGTTGCGAGACGCTTTTCCCCCGCGAGAAAGTCAGTACCGTAGAGTCTGTGGGTGTGCCCCGTCAACGTCAAAGTTGCATTGGGGGAGTTTACGTCAAAGAGCCAGGCAATATATTTCTTCCCGCCACACACTATGTGGCTACCATCAGCGGAGTAGGCAGACGCCAACACAGTGGAGTCGACATTATAATGCATCAAGACTGCTGCCGTTTCAACGTCCCAGCGCAGCAGCTCCTCCCGCGTACTGGTGAGCAGCTCGCGGCCGGACGGGGAGAACGCAAGGGTAAAGGGAATCTTTGAATGCGTTGCCACCGAGCGTAACAGTTGTGGCAGCCTTGAGGCGTCGGTGTCGTCACTCGTGCCCACACCACCCTTATCGGGGAGGTTGAAGTCGCCGTCGTTCTTGTCGTCTGTAGCGTCCGCCCCCCTGCCTGCATGGTCCAGCACCTCCTCAAGAAAAGGGTCCGCGGCCACGTAATGTTTTTCTTGCACTGTGGAGTTCCCACACTCCTCCACCACCACCCGCTTCACCTTGCGCGGACGCGCACTACTGCCCGCCGCCAGCTGCACCATTGCGCTGAGGTCTACTGTACACATCCGCTTCATTTTGGTAAGAATAAGACACTCACGCTGCCCGCTAAACCACGCCGCATTAAGCCTTTCAGAGTCCTCCGCCGGGTAGGCCACCCATTCACCCGGTCGATCCAGGTCCTCCAAAAACCACGCGTAGTGGCCCTCGTCTTCCGCCACGGCTGGCGGTGGCGGCAGTTCGGAAAGTATACGCGGTATCAAGACAGCTCTGCCAAAGGTGGTGGGTCGCGGCTTATTGGTGTAGTCCGTCATATCTAATTGGCTTTTCTTACTGTTACCCTTTATCTTTACCTCCGCCTCCATGATTCGGTTGTTAAATATCGTGCTGCCGCCCGAACCCATGTGGCTCGTCACAGCTTCTTAGTCCTGCTTGGTCGCGTCTTTTCCTCTTTGCTAATCCCCCCACACCCGCTTCTTCACTAGGCTCGCACACTACAATTGAGATGCAGTGCTCACTCCTTGCTCCCCCCCCCTTTTCGACTTCACACACACGTTGCAAGTCGTGTGGGGAGGTGCCAAGCATCAAGGCACAACAACGAGAACAAACAACAACACCAAGACTACATAAAACAGTCAATTCCCCTCTCTCCAAGAACAAAGAGGAACAATAAAAATAGAAGGATAATTTCAAATGCCAGAAACCACGTCTCTCTCCGTAGGTGGATAGATACTTTTCCCTGAGGGTGCCGCTGGACGCCGCAAAAATTCCACCTGACCCGTGTCAACCCTCTCACACGCACAAGAGTTCTGCATTGAAAGGATTCCAAGTCTTACGTCTTCACGTTAATTTCCTATTTTTTTCCCTCTCACCTCGCAGCTCCCCACTTCTTGGGGCACCACGAATGAGTTGAACTGACGCTTGCCCTCCTCTCCCACCTTTTTTTTTTCTTCAACCACTTTTCTTTTCTGTTCTATCTTTCTTATTCGCCTTCGCCCTTTCGCTACCGCGATTTACAGATCAAAATGGCTTTACAGGAAGGGCCAGCGCGGCCGCCTGCGGCAGCTCCTCAAACTGCATCGTCTTCGCCAAAAGTACGACATCAACGCCCAGGCTATCTGCTTCGACCATCGTCGTGTCACCTTGCGGCTGCATCTCTGACAGTCGAATTGCCTCTGCTGTGGCGTGCAGCGGCAGCGTGAGCCAGCCGCTGTGACGAAAGATACTTTGTGCCCCCTCCACCCGCTGCTCCCCGCTCACCACCCGCTGCTGTGCGTGGATGCAGCCCTCAATGATGGGCCCCCACCGTGTCATGGGCACCGTGCGGTCCACTTGCGGCCCATACACAACAAACGAGGACTGCCGCGGGTTTGTGGGTTGCCCAGTCAAAAAGGTGTCTGCGTACATGCATGCCGCAGCAAACGTGAATTCATCTGGGCAGAAGATGCGCCGCATATGTCGCAACGGCGACAGCGCAAGCTTATGCTCCACCGCAAGAAATACTACGGCAGCATCTCCCAGTTGAGAGACACCGGCTGCAGCGAGGTGTTTGTCTCCGCAGTTCTCATGCGCCAAGACATACAAAGTACGTTTATGCCACGCGGTACGAGGATGTATCCCATCCACAAGTTGCCTTCTATACCCACGCAGGACCTCACCCTCAAATGTCTGTGCAAGCGAGATGAGGAGGGAGCTTGGATGAACGGACTCCGAAGAGACCAGCTTCTCTCTCTGCTCCAACGGATCCGTTATTGACGCCCCTTGGGACCCGCGGTTAATCACAAATGTATTGACCTCCTGGTCGTTTGTGGGAACCACCGGAGGCTGCCAAACACTCGTCATAGATGTCATGGGGCTGGTATCACGCACATCGATATGAGCAGACTGTGCTGCGTTAGGCGGTGATGTCGGCACTATCGCCGCCATGGAGAAAGGAAGTGGGGCAAAGGCCTCCAAAGAGACACACGGCTCAGGGTGGGAGAGAATAAACGTGCACTTCTTTGCACACGGCCAGCAGTCTGAGCGCACAGTTGTTTTCCCTTCCAGGTGCTTCCCTGAGAGCTCCTTTGCCTTTTTGCACACAGAGCAGCTCCAGACTGGCGCGTCATTTCTGTTGCCACCATTGCTGCTATTTCTGCCCTTCGCCGTTGCGTTGTCGTTGACCGTAGACATAGCGGCCCCAAGTGTCGACGTGAAGGTGAACGGTGGCGACTGACGCGGTCGGTCAGCGGAGGAGACAGAGTGCATAACGATGGGAGACGTCTCCTGTGACCGCGAGAACACGTTGGCTCGTGTGGCTGCCTCCGTCCCAGGCTGTTTCGCGGCCCCAAAAGACGTAGCCGCCGCAGCGGCAAATGGGTTGCTACTTGCCACCGTGCCCTTCCACATCTGTGGAGTGCTGGAAAACGGAGACTTTTTCAGGAAGGCAGCTGCCGTCGTAAAGGGGTTCAAGGCCGCTCCCGTTGCTGCTGCTGCAGCAGGTGCCGCAGCCATGGCCAGGGGCCCCTCAGAGGCCATGGATGCGACTGGGTTAAAAAGGAACGGCGCCGTCACCACCTGCGCCGCACCTCGGAATGCTGTGGGAGACTCCCGCACAAACGTGCACTTCTTTGCACACGGCCAGCAGTCTGAGCGCACTGTTGTTTTCCCTTCCAGGTGCTTCCCTGAGAGCTCCTTTGCCTTTTTGCACTCAGAGCAGCGCCATACGTCCATCTGTGTTTCCCAGCCCTTTTTGTTTTCTCACCTTGTAAGATCTCACACAGAGGAACACTCGCTCAGAGACGCTTGTGGAATTTGTATCCCCCACCAACACCGTTTCCCTCTTTCTTTTTAACCCTTGTTTTGAAAGGTCTTTCCTTCGGTCCAGTACAGGGCAGAAGCAGGAGTGTGAGTGACGTGAGGTGGTACGACGTTTGAGGAGAGGCAAAAAAGCAAACAAACAAAGAACAACAACAACAATGGAAACGGCAGGCAAAAACCTCATCCTGGTTCTTCCTGCATCTCTTGCTGCGCCTCACTTTACTCGCTCTGCTACCCCACAGTTAAAGTGCATGCCGTCCCGCTTCGAGTGTGAGCTACGCTTGAGGCATGGTTGCGTCAGGCACAGCGTCCACGGCGGGAGCAGCAGAGCTCTCCATCTCCAAGTTCCCCAGCCACTGCTGCGTCGTGTCGGTGCCCGTGCGACAGAAAACGTCATTCACGCGTGGGATGATGTCTTCACGGACGACCTGCGTCCACGCCGCCACGCTTTGACCCTCCAGCACGCCGCCCCACACTGCCGGAGAGTTCACGTGCCCATTTTCCGCTTCACCCCCTTCTGCGTCGTCTACATTCGGCGCCCGGTCCTCGCTGAACTTCGCAGCAAGCAGACAACGCAGAATGTGTCGGACGGCGAGCGCCGCCGTCGCCGGGTCATCGTGCTGACACGCGGAGTGCACCACTACACAACATGTTGAGAGACGCAGCGACGGACGCCATCGGCGTGGGGATAGTCGACAGGTCGTTCACGGGACAGGCGCTGTTGCCGTTACGCCGCCGCTCAGCGTGCCACCTCCTTTCGTCCCTGCGCTGCGCCTCGCAAAACACGCGCCGCAGGACGCTGTGTCGGCGCCACGCATGCAAACATTCAATGCAGACGTCCACGGAAGGCCAACGCCAGTCATGCTCGCGGTAGGCCTGCATGAGGGTCGACACGACGTCTAAAAACTGGGGCTGCGCAAGTGCAGGAGACTCGGACTCCGCAAGAGAGTGAAATACACCGTTGAGCGCGGCGTGAAATAACATGCAGAACGCCTGCTGCCTCGCGTGCTGTTGTTCGCGCTGTTGACGCCGTAGTGACTTACACCGCCCGTCCGGCAGGTGCAGAAGAACACGCTGCAGGCATCGCAACGCAGCTCGCGTGCACCTGGTCCATGCCTCCACGGCACAACGCCGACTCTCCTTCGCGCCGTCTGCAGTGATTGCCTGCCGCTGCAAAGACGCCAATCCCTGCAGAATGTGATCAACCAGCCACACTGACGCAAAACACGGAGTCGCCGGGGAGCGTGAAGGCGTGGCGCCCTCTGACGGCTCCGCCAAAACGTCACCCACCGCCTCGACATCAGCGACAACACCACTCAGGATCTCTGTAACTGCCTGGAGCGTCTCAAGCAAAAACGGCAACGCTGTTTTCTTGTGTGCGGTCGCCGGCCCATCGTTGCGGTGCACACTGCAAAGAAACGGGTGCAGCTCCTCCAGCGAAAGCCGCATACCCACGGCGATGAACCGACAAAAGGCCTCCCGCTTCATCGCATGCGAAGCGTGTCGGTTGCGCAGCACGCAGCAGCACACATCACGGGCAACCACCACAATGTCTGCGCCGCGCTGCAGGCGACACCAGAGTGCATCCTCCACCCCACTTGCTCCCACTTTGTGTTGCATGTTGTCGTTCTCCCCTGCTGCACCTCCCCACGTGACTAGGCGGCGCAGCACCTCAAGTGACAGGAGTAGGCCAGCAGGCTGCAGCATCTCACCATCCTCGGCAGCGTCCAGCAGTAACACTCGTAGGGCCTCCTTATGAAGAGCAAGCGGCACAGTCGCCACCGCTTCCTCTTCCTCTGCGGCCTTCAGAAGCAAAAACCGTGCGTACGGCACATGCCAACCGGTGAGTGGCGTCTCTGACGTCACGGAAACAGACGATCGCAGCGTCTGGTACACCGCACGGCCGACATGCAACGGCGCACCATGCCGCACGCAACACCGCAGCAAACTCACGCCGGAAGCTAAGGAGTGTGCAAACGGTTTTTCAGCGTCGGATGCACCTTGAGCTGGGGGTGAGTGAAGAAACAGGCGGAGAGCAACACACCATGGCGTCGACGTCTCCCGCGTCGTCACGCCGTCGTCCACAGCTTCTCTTCCTGCCCGTGCCATGGCGTAAAGAAGCAGATGCACCGCCTCCGACCACTCCGCCATGGAGCAGACCACAGGCCTTTCCGCGTCACACATCTCCTCGCACTCAGTAATTATCTGCCGCAATGCCGGGGCCCGTGGACGGGACTCCACGGCCGCCTCCCCCAGCTTCTCAGCCGCCGCATCGTTCGCCCCGGGTGCGTCCCGATGAAAGCGACGCCGTAGCTGTTGAAGCATTGCCTGCAGGCCGGTGTTCGGCGGTGCCACCGTGGCGCGGCCGTCGGTAGACACCCCGCGGCGGAGGCAGAAGGGCGCAGCAGAGACAATGGCAGTTGTCGCCGCGGCCGAAACCACCACACGGCAGCAACCAGCACACCGCATCGCACCTCGCTTTGCCTCCTCCGCCCAAGCAACTCTGCGTGCGGCGACCACAAACGTTGACACCACCAACCACCAACCAGCAGAGAGAGAAAAAAAAATAAAGACTGAAACGCGCCCTATTCTTTGTTGACACAAGTGAACTCTTTTGCTTCCCCCCACCCACGCTAAACACCCCAGCGGTGGCAGCAAACAAACAAAACAAAAAGGGGAAATTGCACGTCAGAAGACACCACAAGAAACTCACGTCTCCCACAGCAGAGCATGATGCGGCAGTCACCACCGTCTTCTGCGCGGATGCCGTTAGACACACACGTGTAGCACTTAATTCTCGTTAAGCGGAGCATAAAAAGCTGTAGTGCGGCTTGACCTCTCTCTTCTTTTCCCCCCTCCCTTAAATTTTTTTTTCTCTCTCTATCTCTCTTTCTGTTGTGCGTCGTACGGCAACCGTTTCTTTGTTTGCTTTTTCCTCTGCAAAAACGTAGATACGCCGATGCGTCACCCTTCCATTCCCGCTTCAGCCTCTCTTCAGAGGCAGTCGCACGCAGCCGTTCAAGCACACATGCACCTGCTGTCTTCTCATGCATTTGCCTAAATGTTTTTTTTTTTTTGCAAAGCTTGTTGAGTTCCACTTCGATTTGTTCGCTTTGTGTTTTGTTTTTTGTTGTTTGTTCCCCGCTTCTCTTCACCTTTTTTTTTTTCTCACCGGCCCCGTTGTTGCTTCCATTAACGTAAACACCATAGTATAGATATAAACAAGGCGCAAAGGGGTGTCTTCTGAGGGTCACGCCGCCGCCTCCGCCTCCGCCTCCGCGGCCCCGCCCTTCGTCCGCTTATTCTGCAAGTCGTAGTTGTACACCCGCGAGATGTTGATCTGCAGGTTCGTCATCTGCTCCTGCACCCACGCGAGGTCCTCCTTCGTGTGCTTCAAGTTCGTCAGTGCGTTGGCGAGATTCCTCTCTAACAGCTGTGAGGCCTCGTCGAAGGTGTACTCCACCATCACCTTCGCCCCCATCCAGAGATGCACCGTCTCCTGCGGCACCACCTCCGCCTCGCCAAAGACGGCATCGGTGAGGCAGTAGTAGGAGCGCACAGGGGCCTGCTCCTCCTGCAGCTGCTTCTTGAGGAAGTTCAGCGCATGCAGAGTCTTCTTTATGGTGGGGATCTTGTAGTCTAGATTCGCCATGCTGCTCACAAGGCGCTTCTCCATGTGCTCGTACTTGGAGGACTCAAGAATGAGGTTGCTGATGAGGGCGTCTGCACCACCACCTTTCTTAACAAACATGGCCATGTCGCTGATGTACTCCACCCGCGGAATGCCGCGGGCATTTGTGTAGTCCTCCGCAAACGCGTACTTCTCAATTGCCGTCATCGCCCCGTCGCCTCACCTCCCTTTTGTCTTTCTTGTTGATCTCTAACGGCCTATATAGCCTGGCGCTACCCACTCCTACTACCGGAGGGAAGTTGTGAAAAGGCGTAAATGACGTGAATAAGTGCATGCGCGACGCCAGTCAGAGAGAAAGAAAGATATATATATATATAGAGAGAGAAGAAGTGTGAAGTAATAATCTCCTCACTGGCGGCGCATGTGCGGAGGTGGGGGAGAAAGTGGAGAGTCACACACCTCAGAGCCCCAGGCAAAATCGAGCACGGCAGCAGCAGCAATAAATAAGAAAATAAAAGAGGCTTGACATGTTCTTCACAAAAAACAAACACGCACACACATCGTTCCTCAAATCTGCAGAGAACGCACCGCTCGTATTGGATCATTCGCCCACGGTTGCCGGAAGCTGCACGTCCAACAGCAAAAATGGACGAATCTCCTCGCGGAATTGCCTGCTCTCCAGCCAGGCCGTGTCAGGAGGGGCAAAGAACAGCACCAGACGGCCGTCGTACGCCTCCTGCAGAATCTCAATCGCGCCTCGGTGCACATCCAGCGCCCCCTTCCCGTGCTTCACAAAGTACCCTTTTTTCTTAGCGTAGCTCTCACAGAGCTCGTACGGTGACCACTCTTCTGTGTCATCGGCCCCGTCCACTTTGCGTAGGCCGTAGAGTCGTTCAAGTTGCAGGTGCGACGCCAAAAAAGCCACACCACTTTGCGGGTCCCGCGTCTGGGCAATCTGGTGCGTGCCAACAACGGCCTGCAGTGCCCGTGGAACACCAAACACAGGGAAGGCGAGGCCCGGGGAATCGATAAGCACAACACGCTCAGATGGAATGGGAATTGTCTGCAGATGTTTTGTGTGCCCCGGCGTGGCGGAGACAGACACCACCTTTGTGCCGCGGACGCAGTTGAGCAAACTCGACTTCCCCACATTCGGATGACCCACAACACCAATGTGCAGCATGGCCTCTTCGTCACCTGTGCCGCACACGGCAGAGGGTTTAGCTCCACCCAACATGCGACACCGCTGCAGCAGCGCAGAAATCATATCGGAGACGATCTGAAGCTCCTTGTGATCACGTTTATCGTGCTGTAGCTCTCGCTCAGCCTTATGCATGCCTTTAAAGTTGTCTGTATCCGCGTACGCATACTTCTCCTCACCCGTAGCTCCACCAGGAGTGCTATCGTTATCCGCCCCCTCCTCCTCGGAGGAGTCTCCACCCTCTTCCGCATCATCATCATCATCCCCATCATCGTTGCGTTTTACCGCTGTCCCTACCACTTGCAGCTTCCCTGTGCGAAGCTGTTCGTACAACTTTGTGCGTCGCTTCTGCTTTTTGCGCCGCTTCCCCGCATTACCGGCTTCCCCTGCACCAAAGGCCGTTTCGGCTGCCGGGAGCGATGTAAAGGGCAGCAGCGGAATCTCACACACCACACCGGTGGCCGCAGCTTCAGCCGCATTCGCGGAAACCACACCCGTGGCGTGGAAGTAACGAGGAAGAAAGTCCATCCAGCTATCGAGGATGGGCCTCGGCACAAGGTCAGCCTTGTTGAGCAGCACAAGAGCGGGCTTCTTGCACTGTCGCAGAATGTACCGCAACAGCGAGAGCGGCAGGTGCAGAATCGGGTAACGGACGTCGCACACAATCACAACCACGTCGCTCTGCTCCACCGTGCGCCACAGCTGCCGCCAAACTTCAAGGTTACGCTCGTGTGAGCTTAACTGCAGCGTCTGCAGGGGCGGAGGAAGCGGGTAGTTGTCCACCGCCTGTAAATACGCTTGAAACCGCGCCACCTCACCTGCTTCGAAAGCAACGTTGTCAGGAACGTCCTCACCGCTCGTACGACGGAGTTCATCACTATCATTATCATCCTCATCAATGTTGTTAGTCGTTTCTAAAGCTGCTTCTGCAGCAGCGGCTGCAGCCATCACCGCATCCGCCGGTGCCCATCCACGTGTCGGAATTTCCACAGAAAACGGCATCAACGCTGCGCCAGTGTGCCCCGGCATGTTGAACCACGAACCAAAAGGAATACCGTTATCATCCATGAAGCGCCGTTGCACCAGTGGCTCATAGGAGCGCTTTTTGCGTGCGGCGACATCTTCGGCCGTCTCTTTAAGGAACACACTGCGAATTCCCTTACGGTCGGCGCCGTACTTGCACTCCGCCGTCACCTGCTTATCGCCCTCGTTTCGGTTGCCGCTTCTCTCGTCGTCATAGCTGTGGTTGTGGTGACCGCCGGTAATATGCCTCTGTTGGCGATCCTCGTTCTCTTCTGCATTCTGCTTCTTGCGCTGTCGATGCTCCTGCAGCTGCTTCTTCTTTTGCTTTCCACTAAATGCCGGCATACCGTGATGTATGTATAGCCCCTTCGCTCATGAATGCAATGAGACCAACTCCACACTCACACATGAGAGCAAAAAACAAAAAAAAACGGGTGGAGAGAAGCGGAGTATGCGTAAAGGAAGGGAATCAACAGACATCGGTTTACGCCAGACGTATAAGTGTATAAATTAACTCACATTTACATTCTTCTGCTTGTTGGAAGAGAAAAAAAGAGGAAGAAAGTTGTTCGTTTCGTACCCTCGTCTGCCTGTTCGTCCTTTGCGCCTACGAGACTGCAGGATGATACATCAGTGGGTCTTCAGCTGCACCGTGTCCTCGAAGGCAAGAAGGGCGTTCCTCCACTCCTTCTCCGTCATGTCCGGCGCACGAGCAATGAAGTGTATGCCTTCCGTGTCAAGCGCCGTGGTAGGCGTGGTGAAACTAGCGAATAAATGCACGGAGCCATGCGAGAAGAAGTCCGTGAAGGAGTCGCGGCTGCTGCTTCCAGCGGTACTGCGCCTTCTCTGAAAGGCATCAGATGGTTCAGCCGAGTCATAGGCAGGCGTTGTACAGGAGGCACACAACACCATGCAGTAAATCACTCTTTGACTGCGTCGTAAAGTCATCAAACGTGTCGTGCGTCTCCGTTTCATGCCGCGTAGGAGATGAGGAGCGCACCTGTAGGCGCAGTTCCCTTCGGGGAAAAAGCTGCGCAAACGATGATGGAAAATCAAACAAAGCGGGGAATAATGCCGGCGACGAGCCGGTTCACACACAAGCTCCAGAGAGTCGTCACCACGCATGATTTATCCCACACCCCGCAGAGCAGCGTAGACGTACGCCAACCGCACGAGTGCGCAAGGAAAAATAATAGAAATAATGCTTTTGACTGCCAGCCCTGCTGGGTCTCAGTACAGGAGCGAGGAGAGTCGCGTGCGTGCGTCTTGGTTCTTGGGATCGGCGTGGTACAGCTGCAGTGCACCCAACAAACACGTCTTCAGCTGCCGCACGCACCTTGCACCCTCTGTCTCCTCCGTCGCCTTTGCCGCCCCCTCCCCCCCTGCCGGCGACGCCTGTCACCGCCACCGCCAGCCCTGTTTTCGGTATCCGACACTTCCGTGTTCAGCCGATTTACAAGGCGCTCCGCGTGTGTCAAGTAGGCCTTGCAGCTGCTAGTGTCTGGTCGATGGTACACTAAACAGATGGCTTGTTGAGACTGAATAACTTTGCTCAAAAACGAGGTGGCATCCATCTTGTAGGCGACACCACGGCGCGAAGTACAAAGACACGTATGCGCAGTTATTCTTGACAGCTGCCGACCGCTTCCCATGCAGGTCCGAAGTTGCACTCCCACGCATGAAGACGTACGCATGAAACGGATACTACCGGCGTGAATTCGTCGCTCCAGTGCAGGAACTCGAGAAGGTGAGGCTCTCAACATGCACAAGCCACCCTTGCGCATGGACAACATGTGTGTACTACAGCTGCATCTAACCAAGGATGCTTCTTGCAAGGGTATTCTCTGCGTATATGTGAGACGACGGTGTACCTTGGGGCGGCCCTTTTCTTTCTCTGCACACGAGATAGACTGTGTGTGAGAGAGAAGGCATCTGAGATTGGGAGAGAGCTTCATTCATTTGTGTGGGGCATGTGGGCGGACCTGCGATTGGTCTGTCCCAGACAATGAGGGTGTTTATGTGTAGTGACGGAGCTCCACCCTTCCGTGTGGATTCGCGCGGACCTCGGGCGCGTTCCGTGTTATTCGGTCAGCATCACGAGGTCGCTGGCGCACGCGCCGTGACGTTCTTTTTTGTTTTTTTCAGCGTCGTTAAAGGGACAACTCTCCCTGTCCCCCCCCCCTCCCACAACCCTGCTATGGCGAGGGGAGGTAGAGAGGTAGAGAGAAGAGAGAGGAGGACTCTTTCAGACAGGAATCAAACAGGCGACCCTTGTGATAACTGTGTGGGGCCCTACAGCCACACGCCCCACCAACTGAGCCACGGAAGGAAGGCCGGCAGGCCGCGCTGCCACTACTCCCCGGCCGCGCACAAGTGAGTGTGGCGAAAAAGACACATGCACACACGAGGCAGACGCAAGAGGAGGAGGAGTTCCTTTTCACGTCTCTCTCTTTCTCTTTTTGTGTGTTGCCATCCGCGCGAAGAGCGCATCACAAATTTCGCTTTTTGTTTTGTCTTCATTTGTCCATTCTTCCTTTTCGTGTGTACGTGTTCACGCTCTCTCCCTCGCCCTTCTTCTTAACTTCGGAGTGGAGCAAAAGATGTATGAAACGCAAGAACACGAATAAAAAAGGAGTTGGGGGAGTCGTAAACTCGGCGACGCATATATATATATATATATCCCCCACGGGACGGCACATTTACCGTTGCCATTGCAAACAAAATACCGAAAAACAAATATACTTCGACGCGTGCATTGCATTAAAATAACAATAATAATAATAAAGAAGGGAAGTGATGATCTCCCTCTTGTTGTAAGTGACAAGCAGCAAGATGGCTCTTTACTTCTATTCTCTTCTTCCTCAGCATAATCCGGCTCCGTTTTGCCACTCCCCCCTCACCCACCTGAACTACCTCTACGTTTTCTTTTCTGACCTTTAATGTATGTATCTATAGGGCAATGTATGCATGTCTTATTCTTTGACTAGTTCTATGCGCCTGCGCTCCTGCGCGGCTGTCCTCCACACACTCATTTTCACATAAAAAGAAGCATGCATGCGCATGGTGTGTGTGTGTGTGTGTGTGTATGTGGTGAGAGGGAAAAAGTGTGGGCGTTGATCATGGTGGTTGCACGTCACAAATAAAATGCCGCAACCCAAAGAAACGCAGTCTGTATGCATATTATGAACGGAGGAAGAGTAAAACGCACACCGACACGTGAAGCGAAACAACACTTTATTTTTTTTTTTCTTCTTCCTGAAGAGAGCCAGCCTCCACCACATATATATCTGAGTGCGTCTTACAAAAAAAAAAAAAAAAAAAAGTAGAACTGCCCCGTCCTTGTCAGTTCGCTGCCAAGTTTTTCTTCCAACTCCTTCGGTGTGTGGTTATTGTTGTTGCTGTTTTTCTATAAGAACTCCTTCTCCGAGGCCCCACGCACAGCCTTGGCAATGGGGAAGCGTGGCACATCCTGTGACGACAACTCCTGGTACTGTACCGTGAGGTACTTGCCATGCAGCTGCTCTCGTTTACCCCACAGTGCCAGCCTATTCTCATACGTTGTCTTGGGGGTGGCGTTGAAGCGGATACCGTTCTTCGTCTCACAGACAAAGGCGCCTAGCCCCCCCTTGAATTTGCCCTGCCCCGGCAAGAAATCCACGATGCGGTACTCCGCGTCATGCATCGTCTTGTACTTCAACAGGCCAAAACTGCGCTTCCCATGCTCGTAGGGGAAGCCTGGGCGGCGAATCATGACACCCTCAAACCCCTGCGAACAGGCCTCCTCCAAAACCTCGTCCATCTCTTCCGCACCCACCTGCGCCGCGGGGACGTGGTAGAGTTTGACCGCCCCTTCCACTGCAGCACTGTCGGGCTGACGTTTTTCGGCGAATAATTTTACGCTTTTCCTCGTCGTGCTGATAGGCACTGATGCGCTTCGCCCCGCAGATGGGGATCATCTTTTTCAGCAGCTGGTAGCGTTCACTAAAAGGGGCGTTTGGCGCCGAGAGCTGCGCCGAGTGCATAATGTCAAAGGAGAAGTACTCGAGTAACTGCGCCTGTCGCTCCCGCATCTCTGGTGTGGTGAACTTCGCAAGACGTCGCACAAGGCCATTTAGTTCCTCAAAGTTGCAGAGCGGAGCGAAAAGCTCGCCGTCTAAGAGGAGCGTGGGGTCGGCCTCAAACAGTGGCATAACATGCGGCACCAGCCCATGGCAGCACTCTAGCAGGATACCACCACGGGAGAAGAACTGCGGCTCTTTCTGCCGTTTATTGTAGCCGATGAGGCAACGAATGCCGTCAATCTTGGGAGAGGCAAGCAAAAGCTCCTTTTCTTCGCCTGGGCCCGGGTTCAGAAGCTGTGCGGTCACACTCTCCCACTTTTGTGCGAGCATGGGTTGAATGTTGATGTCCTCCCACTCGGGGTTATCATGTAGCACGCTCTTGTAGTTCGTATGAACCATGCGTGGCGCCTTCACCCATTCCACTTCATTCATCATTGAGGTGAGCGGTGCTGCTGCCGCCTCAGAGCCCGCGTCTCCGTTGTTTGTCTCAACGGCGGCGGGAGCACCGCCACCTTTCTTTTCCGATTCCTTGTTCATCGCCTCGGGCTTTCGCTGCGGCTTCTTGCAGAGTGGACACACCCCGTGCTGGTCAATAAACTTTGCAACACTCATCTCAAACTCCTGCAGGCACTCACTGCACCGCCACACAGCTATCTTCGTGCACACCGGCGAGATGTGGTTCGGGGTGAGCATGACTGTGCCCCAACACGGCCCCACCCAGCAGGCGGCAAGGTGCGGAAAGGCGGCCTGGATGGACGTACTTTTCATTTCTTGGTACTTTGTGGCCTGCTCCTTCGTGCGGGGACGACCGGCGCCGAAGAGCAGCGAGGGGTTCATTGGAGCCGGCGTCGCCAGCAGCACGCAGCTCCACCGACGCCACATTTCAGTCCACGTTCGAAACCTTGCCGCAGGACGGCCGTAGCAGGAAGAAAGAAAGAAAGAGAAAGAGAGAGAAGAAGAAAAACAGGTACATCTTGGGACAACAGAGCTCAGACAACGCGCGGTACACCCAAGAGGATCCCACACAACGGCACTCGTATTTACAAAAAGTCGCGGACCCGTTTTTCCCTTCGTCTTTCTTTTTGTTGTTGGTTATTTCTCCCTTTTCGTTTGGACCATTTTTGTCAATGGCCGCGGGCCCACAAATTAGCGTCACCGCGTTCTTTTTTTTTTTTTCTCTCTCTGCTTGTGTACAAGAAGGGCCAGCACCCTGGCGGCGTGCGTGTGTGTGTGTGTGTGTGTGATTGCGTGATGGAAGAGAGGGGGATGATTGACGCACCCGGTGGCAGCCGCCGCTGCATTTCACTCCCACACGCTGTGATCTAAAACATCTACTCTCCTTTTTTTCTTTCATTCCCGCAGATTTTGTTGTGTTGATTGCGCGTAGACAACACACGCATCCCACCCCGCGCGCCTGCGCCTGCTCAAACGACGCTACGGTCTCCTCAGTGGGAAAATGAGCATGCATGCACGCACGCACGCACACGGGGGAGGAGCATAAGCTGGGCGGGAGTACAACGTCCAACAAAATCCTACTCGCGGAACAACAGAAGCCCCCCACTCCAATCAAAACAACATAAAATAAAATAAAAAATGGTTACAGTGAACAGTGACAATACAAAAAAAAAACAACAACAACAGCAACACACACACCTGCACCTATGCAAGTTCACATGTCATAGCGCTGACGTGTGTGTATGTATTGGTGCGTAAATGTGCACACAAGGACAACGTTATATCCAGTCCTTCCCGTCCTTAGAGCCTCGAACACACTTGCCAATAGGAAAGCGTGGAACCCCATTCGACGAGAGTTCCTGATACTGCACTGTCAGCATCTTCCCCCTGTACTGTGTGAGACGACGCCACATGTCCTTCTTTGTCTGCTCTGTCGTGGCGGGGGCGACGGTGAAGTGGTGGCCGCGTTTCGTACTGCAAACAAAGGCACCGAGGCGGCCCTTCCACTTGCCGCGCCCCTCCACCCCAGAGACGATTACGTATTCAGCGTCTTGCATGATTTTGTACTTGAGCAGATTCGGGGAGCGGACGCCATGGGCGTAGCCGACCAGCGTCCTCCTGCTAGTGGCTTTACGCAAACCTCCAGCCGCGCCAGAGTCACAACAACCGTCTTTCTCATTTACACCAACAACGCCATCGCGTCGGACGATGATGCCCTCGTAGCCGTCGGCTATGGTCAAGCGGAGAACACGGGCTATTTTGGGCTTTGTGATTTGAATAGCAGGCACCAACACCACCGCTTCCTCCTGACGCTGTCCCTTTGCTGCGCCCAGGCTGCTAATCAGGCTACTGAGGTGTTCGTATCGCTCTGAAAAGGGTACAACAGACATGTCGGGCAGCGCACTAGCGTACATGAGGTCAAAGGTGTGGTACTGCAGCTTTCCCTGCAGACTTGCAATGGCCGGCGTGCAGCGATCTCGCGTTGTGCGGATGGCCGAGATAAGTTGCTCAAAGTCGTCCACAGTGTGATTGTACAGCTCTCCGTCAAGCACAAGATTTGGGTCCTTCTCGAAGAGTGGGCGTAGTGCTGGCTCAATGCGGTGATCGCAGCACTCAAAGAGCGTACCGGAGCGACTGAAAAAACACGGCCGCCGTTCCCGCGCATTCCACGCGACAATACACCGCACCCCATCAAGCTTTGGGGATGCAAAAAGAACCTCATCGTCGTGTATCCGGTCGCTCTCCTTCTCAAAGTTCCGCGCGAGCATCGGCTGCAGATTGCGCGTCTCAACCACACGCAGGTAGCCGTCATCTGCAATGCTGCTCTTCACGCGGTTGGCATTAGCGGCCGCCAGCACGGAGAGGCTGTTGTCGGGGCGGCAACGGTGCTTCACGAGCGGCAGTATCAGTGCCGCCGCTGCGGAGTCGCCTTTGCGCGGCAGGGTTGGCACGCGGTGACATTCTGGACACACCCCGCCTGCCGCCACGTGAAGGTCTATCCGTTTGTGATATTCGTGGCTGCAGTGCGGGCAACACCACCAGACTAGCTTGCGGCTCGTTGGAAGGACATGTTGAGGCTGAAGCAACTTGTTCGCCGCCGCGGTCATCCAGGTACGTGCAATGGCCGGGTGAAATATGGACAAGTTACAGGAACGAGGGGTGGCGGAGGGCGTGCGTGTAGCGCGTGCCAGCAGGCACATCGACGCGGCAAGAATAGAGGAGAGACACGAGTGACTCGCCCGCATTGCTCGCTTCGGGGCTTTTCTTTTTCTCCTTGTGTGTGCGTATTGTGTGGGTAAGAGGGGGATGTGGTGGGTCTTAAAAGACCAAAGCGAATGACTCGCTTGACTGGTGGGAGATGCTTACCCTGTTGCGGCCAAAAGCAAATATGATTAACATCAGCCGGCGGTGATGACGGAGGGGAGAAGAAGAGGAAGCAGAGAAGAAAAGAAACTCATGACACCACCGAAACCTGCCAGGAAGGCGCATAAAGGCACAACACCAAAGAAAAAAAAACACAACAAAAAGTGAAAGCGTGTGGACGTGTAAAGATGCCTGTATGCGCATGCTTTCAGTGGCGCAAAACGCAACCTGCGGTGATTGATCTCCGTCTCATCCCCCGCCATCACCAGTCGCAATGGAGCTGAGCTGCTCATGCATCGCATGCACCGCTGCCTCATCCACAAGGGCAAGCCTGTCAACAAATGGCACACACACATTCGGAGAACCTGCAGACGACGTCGAAGGAAGTAACTCGCTGGCGAGTCTGCAAACAAAGCTACACCGCAGCTTGTCCATAATAAACTGCGCACCCTCCTTTTTCACCCCATCGCCGCCACCCTGAGCGTTGCCACGACCATGACGAAGAAACACTGGAAGGTGCAGCAACCACGCCTGGGTCACTTTGCGCGAGGCAAGCAGCATCTGTGTCTCCTGCAGCGCGTTGCTGACATCATCGTACTCCTTGTGGCCACTGCCGTCAACACGGTTGTGGGAAGAGGAGGGTGTGGAAGTGCTGACGGGTGACAGATCCGCACCGCTAGGCCATGAGTTCTGCAGCAGCCATATTGCAAGCAGCGCTCCTTCCTCATCAGCGGCAACGTCGGTCGACGCATGCTCCACCTTGGTCGCCTGAGGACGTAAAAGGACTGTACACAGCCCGTGATGCAAGACGCGAAGCGACTCTGGGTATGTGAGGTACAGTCTCCGCCGTGGCGGCGTCTGCGCCTCGGAGTGGGGGACGCTGAGAGGCGTGAAGAAGCGCATGAGCGCTGCCGCCTCCCGCAACCAACCCACCAGCTGCTCAACGTCGCGTGGCGCATCGTCTGCGGCGCACCAGTGCGACAAAAGTTCCACCATTTCCGACGGAGCCGAAGCGGTGAGGAAGACACCAGTGACATCCTCCGCCGCGCCAACAGCGGAAAGGGAGGCCACCGCTTCATCCCTACTGCCCCGCTGCCCCTCCCCCTTCCCGGCATGTGCGCCACCGCAAATACCTGCCGACGATGCTGACAAGATCTGCTGCAAACGGGCCAACCGCGCCGCGTCCACGAGACATTCGGCTACGAATAGGCGCACCGACTTTGGTAATGGCGGCGTCCAGTGGCGTGTTAGGTTCTGTGGGGTCCTTGCCGCGGAGAGGGTGGTGGTGCAGGAATAAAAAAACTCAAGCCAATGACGCGCCGTCGGAACCCGAGCAACGTCCCACGACTTCGCCTGTAGTTGGGAGAGAGCTCTTTGCCAAACCTCGCTGCCTGCACCCGCCGCCATCGCAGTGACCCACGCAAAGGCTATCCACCTTGGGGTCAACGGGTTCCCTTCCCCTCCCTCGCCCGGCCGTTTTGTGTTCATTCAAGCAAAAGACAAGAACAAAAAATGAAAAAAAAAGGAAAGTGTCTAATAAGGGGCATCGCCTTTCCCTGCGCTAGCTTTCGTCACAGGTGCGGTCCCACGTTGAGCCTCAATTACCGCTTCCACTTTTTGTTACAACAACAACAACAACAACAAGAACAAAAAAAAAAACAATCAACCGGTACACATGTTTGTTGGCTGTCGCACAGTGTGCGTGATTCCTCTAGGCATCGCACAGGCGCGTGTAACCAGCCCTCTGCCTATGCATGTATATACACACAATACGTGCGTGGTTCCTTCTCCTCGCTCCCTCTCCGTGACGCTCGCTCTTCTGCATGTTCCTGTTTACGCATTAAACCTGGTATTTGGACTTGGGTCTTCCACGGCGTCCCTTCTGCTTCCCCCCGGACCCTCGCACCGCGCTGATAAGTTGCCCGCTAAGGTCCGCCTCCACCGCGTCGCCCTTCTTCGTCTTGCTGCTCTTAAGCTCCGGAAGCAGCCC